TCATGGCTCTGTTGGTACTTACGGACCAATAATTTGGCTTGTTCGACCGTGGATGGATCATGCATGTAAACATGGAACCCAGCTTGTTGGTCTAATAAACCATGGCAAAACCTACTTATAACCTGACTTGTTATAAACTGGGCACATACCCCCTGAAAGGCTTTATCGGCTAAGGCACGTAACCTGTCTGCAAAATCATCAAGAGATTCGCCCCGGGTTTTGAAAAGCTTGATAAAATTGCCCTTGAGCTGCCTCTGGTGAGATTTGGTCACCAAACCGAGCCTCCAGTTTATCGTATAAAGAAGCATACGATTGCACTTCACCACTATTATGTAAAATTACATAATAATCTAAAGCTTTGCCCTCTAACGTCAAGCACAACGCACACAGTTTATCCTCATTTGACCACTGGCACATCTCAGCATATCTGGAAAACTAAAAATGAAAGCTTCCCAACTGCAATTGCCATCAAATGTTAAATTCGTGGGCATTTTATCTAACGATAGTCTTGACCTGGCTGTTACAGGATAAACTGGTTCCCATCCCCCATGAGATAATGGCTCAAACTCATTATCCCCAATGAGGTGGTCCCCTGTTCTTTCCATAGAGACCGCTCAGACCCAAAATCAGCAGGAATAGCCTGGGGAACCCTAGGTGTGGTAAACATATGCCCATTATACCCCATGCTATCCCCACCCATCACAGGTCTACCTTCTCTACGCCCAAATACTGAAGTGCTTTTCACCCCAGCTGACCCTCTGGCCACATCAGGCTTTACTGCCCCAGGCTTTGGTTCCGAAAAGTCAAAAAATGACTGATCCAAGGACCTAAATGACTTATCCAAGGACCCTTCCCCTTCAGAAGCTACAGTATGATACTCTAAAGCCTCCTGTTTCCTAGGGAATTCTTCCAAAACCTCATTTGGTGAAAAATCTATCATATCTAATTCCTCACCCGTAAACTTTTTACAACATATTGCAGACAATATGTCGCCTGTGATATCACCGCCAGCCCCCCTTATAGATAGGAGAATAGCAGCAACCTTTTTACTAACCCCCGGGATTTTAACCAACTCGTCCTCAGAAGCAAAATTAATCGCAACCTTAGATTTATTGGTGTAGGGGCCTTTTGTGTCTGACCTATCCATCGCCATTGCCATATTAATAATTACTTATTACAATATTTTTATTACAAATAATTAAAAATATCAGGCAATTACAGGTCATGCAAAGTACCACTTACCGTTACTGTAAACCAATTTCCGAAATAAAATTTATTTTATTCCACACACCTGCACAATACTACAATATTGTGCCTTACAGTAACTATAATAAGCAATATTAAAAAAAAATATCGCTCTTTGAATTATGCAATATAAAAAATATCACACCTCTTTCTGCCTGAAAATAAGCAATATTATGAAAATATCACTCTTAGAAATTCCTCTGCAATTCTCTTTCAAAAATTGCTAGGTTTTGGAACACAATAGAAGAAAAAAAAATATGATACCGGTATCAAATATCCTAATTAGAAACCACAATGGTACAAAAACCTAAGTGGGTCCGAAGACTGGTAGCGTCTTAAAAATACAGGCCGCAGCTAGAATTGAATCACCGCTGCCACCATTATAGTAAATCTATAATGGTATAACAAACTTACATAGATGTTCAAGTTCTTTGGATACTTTGACACACGGATGTAATCAGATAGATTAATCTGAGCAGTTTATTACTTGTCCATTCAACAGGAAACCAGGATGTGGACTGAGGGAATACTGGGACGTCCCATCTCACCAAGGTCAAACACCACTATATTTCGGTTAGGTCAGTGACCACCACACTTCTTTGAATATTGCGCGCACAATAAACCTGTGTTCTACGTAATAAACCTGTGTACTACGTCAGTAACATGTGCTTGATTCGCAAAATTTCGTGTAGTTCCGTTGTTTTTGCCGTCAATACAATGACTGAATAATTTCAATTATATCGTTGAATTTTATTTCACAAATCTATTATTTTAGCCCAACAAGCGCTTGAATTTCATACAAAGCTACAGTAGTTTCCAAAACAATTGTGTTGCTACGTCATCAGTATACGTATTAAATACGTCATGAAATTATGCTCGTCTCGGTTAGCGTAAATATAAGGAAATTGCTCGAGTATAATCGTAAAGGTTCGCTGGTTAAGTAAAGACTAAGTTATCATCGTTAATTTCCGTCAGCATAAATATAGGCCTACTTTAATTCAGGCGGAGATTCGGGTTTTGACTCGTGAAAATTTGGAAATGCACAAATTTGACACGTGGAAAAATTTGCACAAGAGTCTATTTGCCACATGGGATTTTCAACTATGCAATAATAATCACCTTAAATCCACCCCTAATTAGATCTACATATGTTCAAATCACAATCAATAAAAATGTCAACAGGCAGTATAAGCCGTGCATAAAGTGGTTTATACACACAGCCTGTGCACTGAAGCATGACATCAGTGGATGCAATTTGACAGCGCTAAAAATAGCTCTACACAACTGATAAAAATTACATACTTCAGATGTCAATTATTGATTATTTTCTTAAGGTTTATAATACGTCTTTGATTTACTTGGAGTGCCTGAACATTTGTTATTTCTTTTTGGGGTATATATAAGCCTATTTAATATCTATTAATTAAATGGCCAATGATAAAATTGTCATAATGCAGGTTGACCATTAAGGTCAATTGATTATTAAATTTCAATTAAATAATAATAATAAAAGTAATCCTAGAAAAATATTATTAAATAGATCTAGAGCAGTATGTTGTTTTATTTAAAAAAAGAAAGAAAACATTTTTATTTTCAATTTTATTGTCTTCCTTCTTTATTTACTTGTTTACTTTCAACAAAGAGAATTCCTAGTCTTTAGGAATTTATGTAAGATTCAAGGAATTTAGCACAGATGTTAAGGATTTTGTTCTACAAGATAAATTCTAAGTAATTCCTAAAGACTAGGAATTTTGCAAAATCTTAAGTCTTAGAAATCTCAGAAAATAAATTACAATTCCTAGTATAACTTTGAAATTGATGAGTTGTTTAAAAATTATTAGAAATGCCTAGTTCTCAGTAACTGCAGGTATTTCCTAGGCATTACTAGAATAGCCAAGACTGCATGGTTTTAACATTCTGGAATTTTCTAGGATAATAACTGGGAAATATTGGCTAAATATTTTGACATTTGGTGTCAAGAGGTAAAACCCTTTCGATACAGAATTCTTAAGAAATACATGGGGCTTTAAAGTCTAGCTTAAACAAAACAAAAAAAACAGGATATACAAGAACTGTTAAAAGTGGACATAAGTGATTCATGCATATGTCAGCTATAAAGAATCGTTTTAAGTGTACATAATGAGAAAATGAGGGGACATAATTATTTTTGAACAATTGCCATAAATAAGATATCTATTCTCAATCTGATCCTCCAAATATCAGAAATTTTATATTAATACATGCTGATGTCTAATGCTGACTAGATTTAACTATAGAGCAATTAACAGATAAATTTTAGAGCTAGTGTCTTTACTCCCTATTGTTTTTTTTGGAAAGAGTGAGTCACTCTCAAGACACAAAAAAAAAAATTTTGTTTTACAATAATAATAATAATATGTAGGATTCATAATGTCTTTTCATACCATTTAACTTGTCTGTCAAACATGCTTTCTTTCATTTACAGTGAAAGTTCCTATTTTCGTGGTACTAAAACAGCTAACAGTACTAATTTTGAAATCAAAGTTATATACTATTGTATAGTATTTTGCAAAGCTTCCTTTTGAAAGAAAATTGAAGAAAAGAATGCTGTAGAAATTTTGTTTTGGTTTGAAATTACGTTACCGCAAGCAGTATAATTTATAAAATACAACAGCTAGTGTCTGAGTTTCAACTCTGTCGCAGGCATTGTAAACTACAACCTTCACATTGTACAGACAAACTATCTGGCTCATGAGTTTTAAAAAAAAAAAGAGAAGACGACAGGGTTTGTTCATGTGATTTCTTTTGCTGCCTCTGGACGGCATGACTCAGTTTGAAAGTAAATTTACACCCCACACCGGTGAGTTGTACACATACAATATTGCTATGATGCACTACAAGGTATTAAGTGAATATTAGTGTGCATGAATTATATTTTCCTAAAAGCATTTAAATAAAACTTGTAAAAAACTGCAGCTTCTGTCACAATCTTTTAGCTTAAAAAAATGGTTCAAGAAAATAACTTGTAAAAAATGGTAATGTAAGTATTGTTTAACATCACCATTTATTTTTAAATGTTGAAAAACTGGTAAAAAATGCTGGACACAAGTTTTTTTAACAACAAGTTTTTACCAGTTTTTTAAGAACTGCTGTTTAAATGGAATCCTACAAATTAAGATGAAGGGCAAAAAATTGTAAAAAAGGCATTTATTTGAAAAAACTGCTAAATAACTGCAATATAACTACAAGTTAAATGCCTTTCCTTTTCCTAAGGGTTATCATATTTCACTAGTTGCTATTGCCACTTGTGAAATATTTATTTTCATACCTCTCGACTTGATGAAATCCTCTTAATGAACCATTGATAGATATTTCCATCTAATTTCTATGAAATACATACAGAGGCTTAAAAAGTTTAATGAAAAGTAAATGAATTAATACATTAATATTACTTAAAAAGCAAAATCCAGGGGTGTGGAATTTTGTATTTTTTCCACTCAGTATAGCAATCTGCTGGTTTAGTGGATCCGAAGGTGACTGACCTTAAAATACTACCAGTAAACAGACAGGCTTTATTGTTAGCTGTCAAACATTAAATCCCAAAATTGAAAGCTAGACAAAGTCCATTTTAGAAATTGAGCAGGTTTAGCATTTATCTGTATTTATTTACCCTTATTATTATTTTCCTAAAATAAATAACACAATTAAAAATTAAATTAGTTTGTTGGAATCAGATTTTAGTACAATAGTTTAGAAATACTTACTTTAAATTTCAGGGTCTAAGCCTGTTGACTCAGTCAAGAAAAATGGATGTGATAGAGGAGACTGTTGATTATAATTAAAACAAAAGAAGGAAATGTAAGTAAAAATTTTGACAGTCAAGTACAAAGTTGATGTGGTGTTTAAGGAATTTTAAAGTACAGTAGAACTTTGGTAATTTGAAGTTGAAGGGACTTGGGTGAAAAACTTCTATACATCAGGATTTTGACTCTGCCTCAATTTAAAAATAAAAATTTTGATCCGTTTACACTTACAAGCAAGTTACAAAAGGTATAACAAGAACTTAACCAGTTTATAGTATAAATATATCCTGACACCAGGTCACGGAAGTTCTCAAATGAAAATAGTTCTTACTGTTAACTTTCAAACAGCCCCTTTCAAATTATACTACTACGGCAATTTTAATGGTAACAATTAAAGCACTTTAATATCATATATTTAAACGCATACAAAGACTTTTAGAACATAACACTGTGTAATTTACACTTGTGGAAATCATCTGTGCAGCTTCAGGGCTTACATTTTACTTTGACACATGGAGAAAATCGACTAATCAAAGTTCGACTCATAGAAGTTCTACTGTACATGTATTAATTTCTGTGTGCATGATAGGATAAAAATCAACATGAATTGGTTCATGCAGGCAATGTTAGTACTTAGGCCATCCTTAAAAAAATGTTTGTTTGCAGTAACCCAACCCAGAATTTTCAAGGTGGGTAGGTAGGTCGATTTTTAGCTCACCTGTCAAAAAGTGACAGGGTGAGCTTTTGTGATCGCTTTTCGTCCGGCGTCCGTCCGTCGTCCGTCCGTCCGTAAACTTTTACTTTAAATGACATCTCCTCATAAACCACTAAGCCAATTTCAAATATCTTCTTTTAAAAAACCATAAGAGCTAGAGCTTAGATATTTGGCATGAAACATCTTCTAATGGGTGTCTACCAAGTTTGTTCTAATAAAAGCCCTGGGGTGAAAAATTGGCCTCGCCCCAGGGATTCATTGATTTTCCCTATATGCATATAGTAAAAACTTAAACAAATCTTCTTTTCAAGAACCCAAATAGCTAGAGCTAAGATATTTAGCATGAAACATGTTCTAATGGATGTCTACCAAGTTTGTTCAAATAAGAGCCCTGGGGTCAAAATTGGCCCCGCCCCGGGGGTCATTGATTTTCCTTATATGTGTATAGCAAAAAAAAAAATCTTCTTTGAAAAAAAAACCAAATAGCTAGAGTTTAGATACTAAGCATGAAACATCTTCTAGTGAGTGTCTACCAAGTTTTCCAAATAAAAGCCCTGGGGTCAAAATTGGCGCCGCCCCGGGGGTCATTGATTTTCCTTATATGTGTATAACAAAAACTTAAAAAAGTCTTCTTTGAAAAAACTCAAATAGCTAGAGTTTAAATATTAAGCACGAAGCATCTTCTAATGAGTTTCTACAAAGTTTGTTCAAATAAAAGCCCTGGGGTCAAAATTGGCCCCGCCTCAGGGGACATTGATTTTCCTTATATGTGTATAGCAAAAACTTAAAAATCTTCTTTGAAAAAACCCAAATAGCTAGAGTTTAGATATTAAGCATGAAACATCTTCTAGTAAGTGTCTACAAAGTTTGTTCAAATAAAAGCCCTGGGGTCAAATTGGCCCAACCCCGCGGGGTCATTGATTTTCCTTATATGTGTATAGCAAAAACTTAAAAAAATCTTCTTTTAAAAATTCAGAATAGCTAGAGTTAGATATTAAGCATGAAACATTTTCTAGTAAGTGTCTACAAAGATTGTTCAAATAAAAGCCCTTGGGTCCAAAGCCCTGCCCCAGGTGTGTCATTGTAAAGAAAAAACTTGACCAGCTAGACCTAAATAGATGTTTAATTAATGGGTGTCTACCAAGTTTGTTCAAATAAAAGCCTGGGGTTTAAACTGGCCCCGCTACGGGGGCCTATATGCCAGGTGAGCTACTTCAGGGCCATCATGGCCCTCTTGTTTCATGTGAGGAAGCTATCCAGCTAGCTTACGGAACATCGGTGGTTCTACTTGTACCGTTTATGCCTGAAATAATGCACGGAGGGGCACCTGAGGTCTTCTCCACCAGTAAAGCTGGAATGTTGCGATATGACCTATACTGTGTTGATGTGACGTAAACCCAATCAAAACAAACAAAACCTTCAAGAACTGGATATTTCAATTACAGTTAATAAATAAATACTTGTATAATTGCTGCAAAATGTTGCAGTGCTAAAATGATACGTTAGACAGAATTTGTGTTGATTTTTTCAATCTAAATTGATTTCAAAGTGCTTTCGCCCCAGCCCCCAACCCCCCCACCCCCAACCCCCCCCCTTCAAACCCCCAAACAGAAAAAGGCACCATCCCCCTTCTGGCAATCCCTGATGTATCTTGGACGAAAAAGTGGTCACTTTTATAAACAACATTTCACAAACAAAAGTGTTGGGGGCCCTAAATAAGGCATTTTTTTCACCATTTGAGACAACAAAAAGGGGGGGGGTGAAAAAGGCGTTAAAAGGGTGTATATCGGGTAATGGGTTAAATAATTTATAACCCGACTGTAAATATTGTTTTCAGTGAAAATAACTTGGCTTAGCTCTATAAACAAATTTATCATTTATGCCTGTGCCGAACCTCTCACTTAGTCTTTCACAAAAAGTAAGAGTGATATAAATATGAACTAATCTTAATATAGACCAATTCAGAGCTCCAGATAATTTTTTTGGCCAAGGGGTTTTTACCCCTAGCAATCTTGAGTGAGGGGTAAAATGCAAATTCTGAAAAAAAACTTAGCGGGGTAAAAATCTGTCAAAAACATTTTGCAATTTTTATGAACAAATTAAACTTATTGTTTTTGTTTCTTTGTTTTGTTTATTTCTTTTTTTTAGAAAAACTATTAAAAATAAAAATACTGATTCAATGTGAAACAATACAAAACATGCTCTGTAAAGTAAAACTTCCAGAGTATACTGGAACTCAAGTTTAGGATTACACAGCAAAATTATCAGGGCTTCCATTTTCAAAAATTTGGAAGTGAAAGACTTCAAAATCTCTGATATTGGAAGTCACAATTTTATAGGTAAAGAAGGAAAAGTATTTGATTTTTGAAGTCACAAGCCAAAATGAAAGAGTATATGGCACCCAAACTTTCTGAAATTATTTTATATTCTAGGAGTCAATATTTTCTTTCTTTATTTCTTGTTGGCATGTACCTTATCATGTACTCCCAGTTTGAACAATCATAGTTAAATTAGAATTAAAGAAAAATAAACAAGATTCTTTTATCTTTCCTTAAAAAAAGTATTGGTCTGAGAAAAAAATGTCCGTAACTGTAGACTGGGTACGAAAATATTGAGTACGAAACTGCAGGTGAAAAACATGTTTTTTTGTTTCAACAACAACAGTGAAAGAAATTAAATACATTTTTGTTTATACCGAGGCATAAACATGTCAATAGATGCCTAAACAAACTATGATAATACTAGGTTAACTCCTACAATGATTTATCATCTGTAATTTCACAGGTTGAATCTACCGGAGTTACCTCCCTTGAGTACTTTCTTCTACCTTTGTTTTTAGCATACATTGTTGACAACATAATTTTTAGTTTTCAAAGCAATGAAATACACTGAAATAGAAATATATTAATTTTTATGCTCAAAACATCCTCTTTCTAAATATCAAATGTTTACATTCTATTCTTTCTTTACTTTCAGATTTTGTTGTTAAGAAGATTTTTCCTATTCATCTCAGAGGGACAAAAACAATTATTTGGATCATGGAACATGTGCATAAACTTTGCAAAAGTTTTGTTGAAACTTCCATTTGATAATGAAGATGGCTGCTGAATATTTTTTGTGACAATATCTGAATGGATGTAAAGAGATGTTGAGAGTTATTGTAATTCACACACTGACAGGTGCAATTCAGTGCTAAATAGTACATCTGCAACATGTTGAAAGAATAAAGCTATAACACACTTGGAATCATTATGTTTTCCATAAACCTGAACAACTAAGTTTGGTATACTGAAGTCAGAATGTTCATCTGTCTATCCTGTGACCCACTGGAGATATCAACATGTTAGTGAAACTTAATTCATTGTAGATGGATATATCTCATTGTGCAGAAATGATTTGCTGAAGCTTTATTTTTAGCTCAACTCTTTTTTCAAAGAAAAAAACTCAAGCTGTTGCTGTTTAGCTCACCTGAACACAAGTGGTCAAGGTGAGGTATAGTGATGGGGCTAAGGTTGCCATTGTGCGTGGTGGGTCGTCAACATTTGAGTTGTTAAAACACTCTAGCATTCACAGATTTGAATGGATCATAATCAATCTTTGTCAGAATGTTTGTCTCAATGAAATACAGGTCAAGTTAAATCATCTAGGTCACATGAGCTTAAAAAAAAGAGAAAATCTTGTTAACACTTAGTAGGGCTGCAGTTTTTTGATCCAAATAATCTATGGAAATTAGTCAGGAAGGTTGTTTTTTGATGATTTCTGGGTTAAGTTCGGATATGGGTCGTCTCCTGGTCAAAAAAGTAGTTACAGGAGCTAAAAATAGAAAAACCTGTTAACACTCTAGTGGCTGCAGTTTGATCCAAAAATAATATCCTTGAAATTGATCTGGAAGTTTGATGATTTCTACATGTAGGTCAAGTTTGCATATGGGTCATCTCCAGTCACAAACCATGTCACAGGAACTAAAAATAGAAAAGTCTTGTAACACTCTAGTGGCTACTGTTTTAATCAAATATTCTGGAAATTGGTCTTAACATTTGTTTTGATTTATTTCTAGGTCAAAGTTTAAAATATGGGTCACCCTGGGGTCACAAAAACAATGCACAAGCCCCAAATACAAATATTGAAAAAACCCTTTAACAATTAAACGTTATTGGTCCATTTTTTTTAAAACAGCAATTTTAATTCGAACTTGGGTCAGGATTTGCTTGTCTAGTAAAAATTGTTTTGAAAGGAGATTGGGTCAAAAAATCTCTGATGAAAAACAGGGTTCACAGGGAGCAAAAATAGTAAAATTTGTTTTACTCTTGTGGCTTACTGTTTTTTTAAGCAAATAACCTGGAAATTGGTTTCTCAAGTTTTTTTTTGGATTTCTAGTTCAAGTTCGACCCTGGGTCACCTGGGGTCAAAAACTGTACAACAACTGGCCCAAAATATAGGAAAAAAACCTTTTTATTACCCTTTAGAATCCACAAATTTTTGCTCGGACTATTCGATAAGAATAATAGTCGTTCGGCGTCAGTGTCTGCGTCGGCGTAACCACTTATGTTAAAGTTTTGTAATAGTTCAAATATTTTCAAAGTCCATTGACATATGGCTTTGAAACTTTGCACACTTGTTCACCATCATGACCCCAACCTGTAGACAGGAGGAGGTAACTCTATCAAGCATTCTGACAGAATATGCCCCTTTTTTCGACTTAGAATTTATGTTAAAGTTTTTTGTAATATCTCAAATATTTTCAAAGTTCATTGACATATGGCTTTTGAAACTTTGCACACTTGTTCACCATCATTACCCCAACCTGTAAACAGGAGGAGGTAACTGTATCAAGCATTTTTTTTTTTAACTATCGAGCACTAAGAATAGTCGAGCGTTGCTGTCCTACCAACAGCTCTTGTTTTTTATGCCCCCCCCCAAGGGAGGCATAATATAAATCGGACCGTCCGTCTGTCCATCTGTGCATCCCCCACTTAATTTGTGTCCGGACTGTAACTTTGTCATACATGGAGAGATTTTAAAACAAGTTGGCACAAATTCTACCACATCAAGACCGGTGTCGCGCCTAAGGCTCATGAATGTGTGTGTGTCCCCACTTACACAACAACCATGTCCAGACTGTAACTTTGTCATGCATAGAGGGATTTTGAATTAATTTGGCACACATGTTCTATCTTCATAACAACATTTTGTTCGCGTTCAAGAACCACGTCCCTTCTTCAAAGGTCAAGGGTCACACTTATATTTGAAGGTTCTATCAAGAACAATATTCAACAATTAGTTACTTTCATTCTCTTTTCTTTTCATAATACCTGCATGCTTAAGAAACTTTTCTGGGGCATTCGTCACTTGAGTGACAGCTCTTGTTACCTCAATTGTCATCAAAACTTGATCAAGATGCTTGTCTAGGTAATTGTTCGGATGAGTTCTATGAGAAAGGTGATGTTCCTATTCATGATGCCTCTACTAAAAATTGTTAAAATGTTCTTCTATCAATTGAACACACTTATATTTTGGAAGGTTCATGCTATCAAGAACAATATTTCAACAATTAGTTACTTTCATTCTCTTTTTTTTCATAAAAACCTGCATGCTTAAGAAACCTTTTCGGGGGCATTTGTCACTTGGGGACAGCTCTTGTTGGCTCAATTGTTTATCAAACTTGTCAGGAATGCCTTGTCTAGGGTAAATTGCTCGGATGAGTTCGATGAGACAGGTGATGTTGCTATCATGATTGCTCTTCTAAAATGTTGTTTAAATGGTTCTTCTCAATTGAACATCTGGGAACAGGAGGGCTAAAATAGATTTCTGAAATGAAATCTTTAAAAATCTTCTCCCTGAAAGTGTCAGGCCTAGACCTTAGATCATTTGATCATAACATCATCTAATAAAACACTAAAAAATTAATCAAATTATAGCCCTGGGGTCAAAATTGATGATTTCTAGATCAAGTTTCAATTATTGAATATGGGTCATCTGGGGTAAAAAAAACTTGGTCACACACTCCAGATATGGAAAAAATACCTTTCTTACACTCTAGAGGCTACTGTTTTTGAACCAAATATCTTGGAAATAGGTCATTAAGAGTGATTTCTAGATCAAGTTCAAATATGGGTCACCTTGGGTAAAAAAACTAAGTCATACGGTGTAATTATTGGAAAACCTTGTTAAAACTCTAGGGCTACTGTTCCAGTCCAAATATCCTTGAAATTGGTCAGAATGGTTGTTTTGATGATTTCCAGGTCAAATTAGACTATGGGTCACTTGTGTTCAGAAACTAGGTCACACAGCCCTTATACAGAAAACCCTTGTTTACACCGTTGAGGCTACTGTTCAAGTGTTGTGATCTAAAAATCCTAAAATTGGTCAGAAAGGTCGATTTGGTGATTTCTTGGTCAAGTTTGAATATTGGTCTTCCATCTGCAGGACTTCCATTAATGGAAGTTTGGGAGTTATTTACTCTTTGATTTTGGCTTGTGACTTCCATAATGTAATGCTTTTCCTTCTTTACCTATATAATGTGACTTCTAATGTTAGATATTTTTGCAGTCTCTGACTTCCAATTTTGGGACTTTATGGAAGCCCTGGTTATTCTGTGTTCAAAAAATAGGTCACACAGTCCAAATTAAATGGGATTGAGCATTTGTAATAATATGAGCGATATAAGGGCCATCTTGGCACTCTTGTTTGAATTTTTATCTGAATTTTTTGTTCAATTGACTGTACAAAAATGTCAATTTTATATTTTCATTGGATGTTTTTTTTTCTACCTTATGAAATATGCTTTTGTATATCTTTTTTGTTCGATTGACTTTATTTATTTATTTCAGAATTTGTTTGTTTGATTGACTGAACAGTGATAATTTCATGTTTTCATGGCATGCAACATGTTTTTTTATCTAATCAAATATGCTTTAAAGTTTTGTATAGCATTTTTTGTTTGATCAACCATACAAATGTCTTATAGAGGAATTCTTATACCCGATTTTTTATCACCTGAATAAAATGGCTATTTTACATTATTTATTGGATGTAACATGTTTTTTCTACCTAATGAAATATGCTTATGTTATAGCATTTTGTTCAAGCCAAAGGGGGATTCTTATTATACCTGAGTTTTTATCAGATTTTTTTTGTTCATTTGACCAAACAAACGGTCAATTTTATAGATCAATGGAGTTAATTAATCAAACAAAGAAATAAGATGTTTGCGCTTTTTGTTTGATCGAAAAATATATATTTGTTTGATCGATCGAACAAAATGTTTGTTTTTTAAAAATTTCATTTGATTTAACAAGTTTTGGTAATGAAAAGAAATTTTGTTCGGTCGATCGGACGAAATGTTTTGGTATTTTTAGTACAATTTGAGAGAGAAATTTTCCAATACAATGTTTGAACAGTTTTGTTCAATCAATCAAACAAAATCTTTATTTTAAATTTTTCATTTGATTTAATGAAAAGAAATTTTGTTCGATTAGTCGAAAAAAGAAATAAAATGTTTGCCCTTTTTGTTTGATCGCTCAAACAAAATATATATTTTTGTTCTATGGATCGAACAAAATGTTAAATTTTTTTGTACAGTTTGAGAGAGAAATTTTCCAATACTGTATTTGAACAGTTTTGTTCGATCGATCGAACAAAATATTTTAAATTTTTCATTTTTTAACCAGTTTTGAAATTAAAAGAAATTTTGTTCGATCGATCGAACAAAATGTTAATTTTTTTTAGTACAGATTGAGAGAGAAATTTTCAAATACAGTGTTTGAACATTTTTGTTTGATCGATCAAACAAAATGTTTGTTTTAAATTTCATTTGATTTTACAAGTTTTGGTAATGAAAAGAAATTTTGTTCGGTTGATCGAACAAAATCTTTTAGGGGTTTTTTTTTGTACAGTTTGAGAGAGAAATTTTTCAATACAGTGTTTGAACAGTTTTGTTCGATCGATCGAACAAAATATTTATTTTAAATTTTTCATTTATTTGACCAGTTTTGGAAATGAAAAGAAATTTTGTTCGATCGATCAAACAAAATGTTAATTTTTTTAGTACAGATTTGGAATGAAATTTTCAAAAACAGTGTTTGAACATTTTTGTTCGATCGATCGAACAAAATGTTTGTTTTAAATTTCATTTGATTTAACAAGTTTTAGTAATGAAAAGAAATTTTGTTCGATCGATCAAACAAAATCTTTTGTTTTTTTAGTACAGTTTGAGAGAGAAAATTTCAATACAGTGTTTGAACAGTTTTGTTCGATCGATCGAACAAAATAGTTATTTTAAATTTTTCATTTATTTGACCAGCTTTTCAAATGAAAAAAATTTTGTTCGATCGATCGAACATCGATCGAACAAAATGTTATTTTTTTTAGTACAGATTGAGAGTCTAAGTACAGATTGAGAGAGAAATTTTCAAATACATTGTTTGAACATTTTTGTTCGATCGATCAAACAAAATGTTTGTTTTAAATTTCATTTGATTTAACAAGTTTTGGTAATGAAAAGAAATTTTGTTCGGTCGATCGAACAAAATATTTTGGGTTTTTTTTTGGTACAGTTTGATAGAGAAATTTTTCAATGCAGTGTTTGAACAGTTTTGTTCGATCAATCGAACAAAATATTTATTTTAAATTTTTCATTTATTTGACCAGTTTT